CCTCCAATCCAGGGTCACTTTTGGAATTCCATACATATCGAGGCAGAGAAATAAACTACCCCTTTTGTACCTTGGACATCTCAGTGTATGCATGCCGTTCATTTCGTGTCGTATTGTAACAAAAGTTGGCTGTGGACTTTATTAAAACAGAACACCTAATTACTTTTCCTTTTTTTAACTGATTCAACAGTCATTTTCATGGTTTTAGTTGTATCTCTTTTGGGTTGTCACTTCAACAGTTCCTTTACCGCTTAGGTATAACTGAGCCAGAAAACTGGCTTAGTTTTGAGAGAATTTGTTTTCTGAATTCTCAAATGTCTACATAACTACAAAACAGAATGATTCATGAGCAAGAAGCAGTAAAAACAAATATTGAGGATATGCTCTATGTTTCAGGCTTGGACTGTAGCTCACAGATCAGTACCGTACTCTTTGAGGTTTCATAGTGTTGAAGCCAACATGGAATGTTGGCTGCCCCCTCCCCCAAGCTGGCAACAAAATCTCACACAAGCAAGCCAAATCAGAAAACTGATCTGGCAGAAACCATACCCCAAAAAACAAAACAAGACATAGTTTTCAGTACCAAGGTACATCTGGTTTCCTGCATGGCAACACAAATGCTAGTGCCAGAACAAGAAGTACAGAAACATCTCCCTTTCAGCAGGGAGGGGAAGAGGGGCAATCAGGGAATTGCAGCGTGATTGTCTCAACAGACTTTCAGTTTTTCCACTTTTTTCTCTTTAGATAAACATTTTTGAGGATGAATAAAACTGACTATCTGTTGGAGAAAACTCCAAGTTTGGACTAAACTTCATTTCTGTCAAACTACTTTCTGGTTTAGGAATGAAGAGAAGCTATAAGCCTTACCTTTACAAAAGCAGTTTTGAAAGCATCTTAAGCCCACAGTTATTAGAAGGTAAAAGAGATAAGGAAAATATTAATTGAACACCTGAACAAAATGTTTCACATATATAGAAATTTAACACTTAAATACCAAATGGCACTTCATTTTACTAAATCAGTTCTTATATCCCAAGACTAAACAGTATAGTTAACTTCCTCTTCATTCCTTTAGCTGTTCTGATATTTGATATCAGAAAGTATACAACAGAAAGCTAGCTGTAATATTTTTTTTCCCCAGTGGAAAATGTATTTGATATTCCAGAGAAGAGAAAATATAACATTAAACCAAATATTGCCCAGTGACATGCTTATTCCTATACAACTATGCAGCTAATGTATAAAGGCTATTTTGATATGGGTTTGTTTCTCAACACGCTTTGATTCCTTAGCCACTGTCTGGTCAACTGTCATAAGTTAAAATAAAAACCTACAGTTTTGTATTAAAAGAATCAAGGCTGTCAAATATCATCCGATTTACCTCTTATTTCACTACGTCTGTAAGATTACCTTTAGTCAATTCTTAAAGGATTAGGTGAACTGGACCTTATTATGGGGTTCAACTGTGTAAACACCCAAACAATGGATTCCACTAGTAATTTGAAACCAGATAACAGGGAGATTGTTCCAGAATCCAAAAATCATGCAACAACTTTGAAATGGTCAAGACTCAAACGCCTGGTTATTTCTTCTTTAAGAAAAAAAAAGAAATAAGCAGGGATGTAGATTTAGTTAATTTATGGGTCTCTACCACCAGTTTGCTGTATGACATCATTCCTATAATAAGTGTTGTGCGACTGCCTTTGGAAGGGATGGTGACTGCAGTGATTTCTATCCACACAGAGCCAGAATAAGATTTTTAAGACTCCTTCTTCCCTTCCTACAGAAGAAGGGTAGGGGAGAGGATGAAAAAAGAAGGGGAAAGAGCTGGATGCTGTCAGAGCTTAGGGAACTTACAGCTGATGAAGTACAAGTGTTTTAGAGAGAAACAGCTACATAGCTTAATCAGTTATTCTTGCTCTTGCAGCTTACAAGGCTCTGTAGAGAGTACTTTCTTCAGATATGTATTCCTGGAAAGTATCATCTGGACATTGAACTGATCCTCCACAGTCTCAAGCAATTAAGACATAGTTATTAAATCCAGAAATTTCTGCCAGAATATTAACTCTGGGTCCACCTGCATTCTGCACATGTACAATTCACATGAAATATTCCAGCATAATTTAAAAAATATGAAGTGCACAGCAAAAACATCTAAATCCACATAAATATGCTCCTGGCACAAGTATCTGAGCAGTATCAAGGATATTGCCAATGTCCTTGTTCCCTAGAGTAGTTGAGAATTTGTTAAAAAAAGTGTCCTGATGTGTGTAGAAATCAGAAACAGATGGGCTGATCACTTCACCTCAAAATGCCAACTGGTTTTCCTGTGAATTTGCCAATTTTCTTTAAAGATACTCTACTAATCTTCCACATAACTGTGAAATTAAGACCAACTGAGGATTTAGAAATACCACAACTACAGGGAACATGTTCTCCCTGGACGTCTAAGCATTTCTGTTTTGCCAGCTCCCTGCTCTGAAATCCTCGAAGAGAAGGCCTATTTTCAGTCCTGCTGAACGCTGCACTCGTGGGACCTGAAGTACCACTTGAATCACCCAACACTCTCAAGGCAGAGCAGACAGACCCTCCCCAGCCAGCAGGACTAGGAGCTGCAGAACAGCAGACAGCTTCTCTTGGCATCCAGCCCATCTGTGAACCACCCCTTCCAAACTTGGATCCACCAAGGTAGCTCAACCTGTCGCTCTAACCTCCATTTAAATTCATGCGTGAAAATCCCAAATAAATCTGTGTTTTTGACCTCCTATGCACTTTCTGGATGAAAAGCACTGTAAAAAATAATGTCACATTTACAGGCATGAATGGAGTTCCATAATTTTCTTGTGATATAGATGAGACTTGTTACAATGTCTAAAGAGTGGAAACGTGAAGGGTTAAGAGCAAATTATCAAAGATGCTCAGAACCAAATGGTTCCAGTTTCAACTCATATTTTAAAAATATATGGAGTAAAAATTTCAAGTATACTTCAATGAATTAGAAACCTAGCCTCCAGTATAGATAAAACCTCTTTGCAAGTATTGAGAGAAAACAAGAAAAAATACTACATTTTTCCCAACAGGACTGATAATATTTCGGCTTGTTCTAACATTAAGTAAATGTTACTTCCTCTAGTTTATTAGCTATTGCTAAACAGTATACATTATTTTTATATGACTTCCCAGCACAACAAAGAAAAAAAAAAAGAAAAAAAAGTCGCTGCCCAAAAAGGCCAAGCAGTATATAAATGAGGAAATTGTAATTATTTTTCTGATTTTTTCATGAAATTGGGATTGCTAAAAGCATTCCATGTACTATCATAATTACTAGTAATAACATAAGAACTAATGCATTCCTGCAATTTTCAGTCCATTACTTGTGGATTTGTCATTTGTTATTTCTATCGCACAAAAGGAAGTTAAGTATTTTTATACTTAAAGCAAGAATTCATCAACACAAACATAGCAATTACTGAATCTCCTAAAAGCCAAAGGTAAAGAATGGAATTTCTTTTAAGTGAGATCCCAGAGATATCTGGTGACCTTCACCATTCACAGTGACTCCTACACAAAACAAAACCTGAAAGAGAAATTTAATATTCCTCCAGTTACTTTAATAGTCTATAATGCTCTGACTATGAAATTCCTGGATAAGCAAACAAAAACTCCTAATACTTCTCAAGACACAAACAACACTTATTCCTTACTGAGCAGTCCAAAAGCCATGCAAATCGCAGAAGATTTTTTAGTACATTTTGGGGAACAATACTCGCTCTGTTCCTGTATGGTGGTGAGTAAAATTGCATGCATTCCTAACTAGATGGGTTACTCAGCTCATAAAGGGTGTGCCAGATAGCATTAGTGACACTGGGTCTTATCCCACCTCTCTGACATCCACAGAAAACTCAACACTGCTTCTATTCCAGCCAATAACAAATGAATGGGCTTAAGAGAAGGTATCAGCTTTAGAGCTGCAGAAGGACTGCCAAGTTTCCTCTGAACAGTTAGTAATAGGACATGGGAAAGAAACAGGGTCAGACTTGATCCTTGTCTCATTTTAAAAAAATAGTAACAAAAAACCCCCAAACCCACGCCACACACAGTGCAGCATTCTCAGACCGCTGTCAACTGGCACATGGAGAAGCCTTTTAAAGACATTAGAACAAACCAAACATTTTCTCCAGTATTCTCACTGACCCTTTAGTTACTAACTTTTAATACATAAGAAAACTTAAAACTTTCAGAAATTCATAAATTTTCTAATTTCTTATGATAATCTAGATAATGAAATAGCAGGGGGAAAAACAGGATTTGTAAAGCCCTAGTTTAAAAGGGCTTTAAACCTTACCTAAACAACCACACAACTAAAATTTCTAGGGTGATGGAAAACAAGGATGGGAATTTACTTATAATGCCCAAGAGCTATTTGCATATTAACAGATCACAACCAACAAGAGGCACAATTCCTTGCTGTAAAAGCAAACCAGAAAATAACTCTGAAAACTTAAAAGACATGTCAAAAACCCAACAAGCCTCTTTAACACACAGGATCCTACACTCAAACTTCTATAAAAGTTTTACCTCTCCTGTTTGAAAGAGAAATGCACAATGCTTTTGCATATATAAGGCCAAAAAAGCAGATGTAGGATTGTTTCTGCCATTAGCAATGAGGGCTCCAAAGCCAGAATGCTAGTAATACTTCCAGGATTCAAAGGCTCCTCCATGTATAAAAATCCCTACCCTGTTAAGTACTTCAGTTTCATAGATGAAAGGTACTTAAAACTGCATGACTTCCTAAAAATATATATGAAATAACTTTTTTTAAAATTTGGCACATTATGTTACAATGAATGGGTCAGTCATATCCATATAAACAACAGAAAATTATAGGAGAAATTGGTCATGTCTTCATATAGGAACGTAACATAAAGCAAAAATTGAGATAATCCTGGTGATCTATCATGAGAGAAAGCTAGCCCAGAAACAAACAAATAGAAGTCTACCTGTTGGAGGTCCAATGTAATGGTCACATAATGATACTCAATTCCATTCTGGATACTAGGGCTTTGCCACCAAGTGTTCTTGCCATCAATTGCATTTGCTATCGGGTGTCGTTCTGTTAGAACAGCAGAAACATATAAATAAATTTCAAAACTGTTCGAAGATTTAATTATTTTTAGACCTGAAATCTAGATTTTAAGGCAATTACAGAACTAATAAGGCAGAACTTCAAAAAGAAAAAGGAATAAATTAATTTTTCTTGTACTCTTGAGCCACCAGTCATGCTTATTATTACTGGAATAATGATCTAATATTAGTTGTTTCATTTTGGTTATGATCACAAGGTCATTCAGAACATCTAATTGCAGAAGGTCCTCCTTATGCTACAGAAAATGCAGGCATTTAAATCAAGTAAACACTTCCTGCACTCTTCCAAAGTTTCAAGTACTGCAAAGTCATGGAATGTTGCAACAGAAACAACAAATCAGAAATCTGAGATATGGTGTGCAAGAAAAGCAGAGATTAAAGTAATACTGGCAATAGTGGCATTTCTAAGACATTTCTAAGCACACCTGGAAATAATTCAGGAAATAACTCACGAATCATTACAGAGGAAATGATTCAGGAATCATTACAGAATATATTCCTCAACTGGAAAATTTTCTGACTCACACGCATATAAAGGTTTGTCTGGTTATAATCCATATCAAAGTCCAAGATGCATTATTTTTCATGTCTATATTTACTCTGCTGCATTATCCCAAATAAATCCTAAATAAGAGGGATACAAATTTATTTACAGAATTGAATTTTTCCTGAATTTCAGGATCTTCTACATTATCCAAGTTTGCTTACTTAGTACTTTAATGTTATTTAGACTGAGAAAAATCACACTCAACATTTCCAGAATATTGTTTTTGTGTTTGTTTCCTGTACAAAATGGAGAATAACAAAATCAAAATTTTAAAAGGTACAAGGATCTATGTTTTGAAGTCTCTAATTTTCCAGAGCAAGCCTGTACATGATGAGGAAAATAACCCAAAGGAAATTCATATATGGTAAGTTTCTTCTATGAAAGTTCTGTCTGCAAGAACATGAATTAGGAGAAAACTCTACCCCTCTTATTAAGAATGACTTTCTAAACTCTCAGGTTTCCTTGGTATAAAACTGGAATATGATTCATTACTAACTGGACCTAGAATTGCAAATATAATTACTCTATGAACTGATTAATTTACTTATTATTTTAATTATTAGTTAAATCAACCAGCCAGATTGATAGTCTTTGTATCTCTGCTTTTTTGCTATATCAACCACCTGTGGAGGACAGGAGTCCTAGCTCATTAATGAAGCCAGAATGCCTGAACATATTTAAGGATACAATTAAAGGGCTTTGTGGGAGTGGGTGAAGGCATAAATGCTCAATATTGAAAATGCCAAAAATTTCATTTAAATATTATTCAATTATATGAGTGGGCAGCAACATTTTCAAGTTAGAATTCTGGTACTACAACTGATAAAGCTATAGGTAGCTTTATATTGAAAAGAAAAACACAGCAGTTCCCATGCTTTACACGCTGTCAGTTCCCACAGCTCTGATCATTTTTTCAAATTTTGGCTTTAAACGAGTGGCAGCAAAAATCAGCTGCAAATCAAATTCAGGACTTTTCAGTGATTGTGACAGAAGTTATCTAATTGGAAGTTTTGATCTATCAATTTGATCTCCAGATCAAATTGATAAAAAGGTAAATCATCAGAAGGAGGATTGGGAGATGAATCAACAATTAACTGTAATCACCATTATGAAAGTTTAATCATAATTAATTTGAAAATTGATTAACTGCTGGCATATTTAGCTTATTTAAAAGACAAGGAGGAAAATACAATATTTGTAAAAAGGACTGGATGGCAAATACAATTCAAGAACCAATCTTCCTGACGGATGGCAAGAGGGAGAACTTAGAGAGTGAGCCTGTCAAACTGTGCACTTTAATTTGGACTCACGTGTGATTAACCAGGGAATTTGTGCTCCTTTCCTACTACAGTAATTAAGGGGAGGCACTCCAGACTCACACATTCCAGGGGGATGATTTAAAGTCTGGTTATATTACATGGTTCTCCTATTAACAAGCCATCTCTGTTTAAACAAGGCACTTCTCTTTGCCAAATGAACATTTGAAGACCTTAAAATGAGATATGATTGTCACGAAAGACCAGATATTATGAAGCTGGACTGATTCAAGTTTAGAAGAGAGTAGGAACAAGGGGAAACATAGATATAAATCATTCAGATGGGTTTTTTTTTACATACACACATACATGTCTGTGTGTATACACATATTTTAGTGTACACTGCCTGACATCATAGACAAGACATAGCAATATCTCTGGTTTAGCTTTGATTTTTGAAATAAGCAAGCTTCATATAGGAAAAAACTGTGGGTAATGTGCATATGTCTCTAAATTCCCATCTGTAAAGTCTTTTGCACAGTCTCTCTGCCAGTCGGAATGCTTCCAAAATCAAAATTCTTCTCTGAGTGAAACACACTGCTATTATGTGATTGGATGTATCTATTGCTAAAGAATCATATGACCTTCCCTCAGAAGGTGGCATTTTCTGTAGTTAAAGAAGACATTAAAACTTGGAAAACAATCTGGAAAAAAAATAGGTTGTAACTGTCTTCAGATAAATTAAGTAGTCTACACTGGGACAATTACAAATAGCTTTGCAAATATAAGATGAGGAGTAATTTAGCAGGAAAAGAAAGCATCTGAAGTTTGCAATGGACAACTAACTGTCCTCTCAGTGGTGTTTCTCCATTAGCAATAGGAAATGTCAAAGTAAAACATGTGAACAGGAATATATGGTTATTCTGAAGCAAACCTGGATGGCTGTGTAGTGCTAGTAAGAGCTCAGGTGAACTTTAACAGATATTAAAGCCTCTAAAGAGAATTCAGAGAATTGCAATTCATGTAGTTAGAGTTCTAGAAGACAAAACCTATGAGGAGAATGAAAGAAAAGATAGCTTAGAGTAGAAACTAGACAGAGCAACACCATGACACCTCAATTAATTAAAATACTTCTTTTAAGAAAAAGGGAGTAATAATCCATTCTTTGTATTGACTGAACTTAGGAAATAGGTAACATGAATTTCTGCAAGAGGATGCAAATTAGCTGTTAGAAAAACACTTTGTTTTGAGCGATGTAATGAGTAAGCCACACTAGAAAGTGTGGCCATGGGCGGAAGTTTCTAAGGAGAATCCAAACAAGCTTCTGTCTGGAAAGCCACAGTTACAGACAGCTCATCCTGTCTAGAACTAGCAGACAGATTAAATGTCATCTTTTATTTTATCCTGTGGTTTTAAGCACATGCTTAAATGCCATGAGGTACAAATATATCTGAGCTAAGTTTTATTGGAACACAATTGGTAAAAAATAATTGTCTTCATATTCTGTGTCTGTGCTGCTTCCAGTATTTTATCTATTCCATTAAAAACTATCTTAAATATCCCTACATCCTCTACCATCTACAGTACCAATATACCCATGAAAATCTAATAATGTTAAAGCTGTTCATGTCTTTCATTGCAAGGTTACATGAAATTAAACTTGTATGACTTGACTGGGGAATTTTCTTAGTTCTAATCTTCCCAACTACCAGAAATAGGCATATCTGAAGTAGATGATGACAAATTATTATTTGAAAACTGATTTTGCTTCCAGGTAATCTTTAAGAAAGCAGTCTTAGCAAAAATCAATTATAATATTAAAAACTAAGCATTAAACCAAGCAGTGCTCCATTACTTTATCTTATTTTTTCTGGCTCACTGAAAACGAATTTACTGAAATTTCAGATATTGCTTAGATTGGGCGAAATGTTCAAATTCCACAAGTAGGTATGCAGGCAAAAGTCATTTATCTGGTTTTTATTCATGGTTAGTGTATATTAGAAGAATTCAGTAACAGCTGTAGATACTTAATTTTTTTAACTCTGAATTTAGGTGCTCTGCTTTCCAGTACCTGAATCAGAAAGTTACGTGGGAGGAGTACTGATATCAGATACAGGTTTTTAAATACCTTTGGAAGAGATGGTTAACCTGATTTAAAAAGAGACACACATTTCACAGTAATCAGGCTGGTGAACTACTGTTTTGTTTCCTGAGTATCTACACTCTCTGGAAAAAAATCTTTTTAAAGGAACAAAATGAAAGTGGCACACATACGATGTGGAACTCGGCTCCTCTGATCACAAATGCGGCACTGAGGGTTCCTTGCAGGCTGTCCAGGTACATGTTCAACGAGTTTGCAGTACATTTCCCGCCCCTTTTCACCACAGGTAGCATTGGTTGTGATGAGAGCATTACTAGCCAGGTTCAGCACTGCAGGAAACAGTCCTGAAAACAAAATAAAATAAAATAAAATAAAATCATAAACAAAAGCAATAGAGGCAAAACCAAGGTGAATTTAGCAGAATAATCACAAATGAATGTAACACCTGTTACAACATTAAAGCAAAAGCCTTCATTTTCAACAGCTATGGAATTAAAATAACCAAAACTTTGATGTGTATCCAGAATCATCAGAACAAAGCCATTATATTGATGGGTTTCTCCCCATTCTTCTAAAATTCAAATTGCTACCTTCTGGTTATATCATGAAAAACAGCAGGATGCCAAAGGAGAAAGTACAGAAACACACAAAGCATCATAAAATTTTATGTTTCACAATCAAACCTTGTGTTCCTACGCAATTGGCCACTGCAACATTGTACACAATGTACCTATGAAAACTCTTTATCATTCTTTTCTGCTGACATCTCCACGGAAAAGCTTTTCCTCCACAGACTGCAGCACTTGCATTACGCTGTATTACTCTTCTGCTTAGGACTTCATAGACACCTTTGTCATCAGAGCAGCTGGGTAATTCATCCAGCAACATGAATAGCATATGTCATGCTTCCCTTTCCTCAAGAAGAAAATACGACATCATCTCTTTTATGGTAGTGCTGTTGTTATTTTTCCAGGTGCACATGCTGAGTGATGTATTATAATTCTCATTCAGCACAGCATTTAAGCACGTCTGAGTGCTCTGCTGAGCAAAGTTATATGTAGCAGTGAGCTATAAAGATTATAAACCATATGAAGAACATTCATTAAGGTGGGTTACTCTCCTTCCCACTAAGTACTGATCAAAACCTTCAAGCCGTAATAAAATTGATCCAGAGAGACACACTGTATGTGTTAAACATATATATTAATACCCCTCTCATTAAATCAACCAGTTTTGTATCTTCAAAAGCAAATTTGCCATGGCTACAGGTTAAAACAAAAAAGCCCAACCGATACCAACCAACCAATCAAAAAAAAAAAAAAATAGGCTGATGTATGAACTCTTGGAATCACTTTTAGATTCATTTTACAACAATTTCAAGTGGCCCAAAAGTCACTCTTTTGCAATTCATTCAGCTCCAACCCTATTATACTATTAAAACCTTAAAATAAGGTTTTAATAAAAACTGAATTGGTCATTATTGAACTCTGAAAGCTCCCTTTATAATGGCATTTCTTTTTGTCCTCCTCAAATGGACAACACTCTGCAACTGACTCCTTTCAGTCCTTTAACACCAGTCTCCTGCTTGTCTCTGCAATTAACCTGTGTGCCATTTAATTACCAAGCTTGGCTGGACATGGTACAGCAGTCCTTTGACATTGTCAGTTAGTGACTCTCATGCTCACTTTAAAACCATGTGTAAATATACTCCTTGAGCAAGAGAGCCAATTAGTTACTAGCCCGTCCAATCTGTGCAGTCAGTCAATACTTGAGATTTTATTGATCATATAGCTCGCCCCTTCTGTATAGATTAAAGCTTATTTTCATCACCTTTTAAAATCTATGCAGTTGTTCTTGTATTTTTATTCACTGCATTCAGTGGTATTTTCTGCCTTCTGCGATGGGACTACATGGCAAAAATCTGTATAAGCATTAACAGAGTAGATGAATTAACAGCTGTGGAACTTCCTAAGTTGACTGACAGCCTCATTATTCTCTTTTTAGGCTGTACAAAGTTAATAGTGCAGAAGCCAGTAATCATTTAGTATTAAAAAAGAGTCTGGCTTTAGTTCAGAGCTAAGTATTTTAAGCCCTCAAAAGTGAACCTCGTACAAAGGACAGAATGATCCTACATGCAAAGAATTGCAGTACATGGCATCAGGAGAATAAATCCTTCAAGAAAGAGCTGAAAGAGAGCAACCAAAAAGCCTCCAGATTCACACAGCTGTAAAAATATTACCTGATCTATGTGTATCACAAATCATACCATTATTCTAAGTTTTAACACAAACTTTAAATGTAAGATACGTAAATAAATTAAGAGTGCTTAAGAAACCTCTTTATTAGAACATCAATTCACCCTTGGGTCACCTCTTTAATGCGCAGAGCACCTCACAGTAAAGCTACCAAAAGAGCCTTATCCATAATCAGTACAAGCACAGGCAACAAAACCAGTATTGGGAGTTTCACTGAAGAGCCCATGTCAAGATGCCAGCACCTCACAGAGGTGCTCCACACTGAATTCCCCAGAGGCTCGGAGTGACAAGGAGAGAAGAAAAGATGCACATTACAGTCAGCACTTCACCTTTGCTATTCATTAATTCCTCAACCCTGGGGTTTTAACAAGTAGTAATTAACATCTACATATTTGAACTTTTTAAAAAAATCTTTATTTCCAAGGACCAAGGGACTGGGCTCAATAGGCCTTAGGAGTCCCTTCCAACTCAAGATATTATATGATTCTATATTATTTCTTTATACAGCCCAAAAGAAGGCTTTGCTTTAAAAGAACATTTGATGTGCAAGCCTGATAGTATGAAGGAAGCAATATTATTCATATTGATTTTTAGCAGTTACATATAGATATATGCATTTTCACAACAGAGGCATGACATTCTATCAATACAGAAGATTAAACCATTTTCTTGAAAATTTTAGCTAGGCCTTTTGAATATGAACTAAAAATGTGAATGTTTATGATGCTAACATATCTGGTCACATTTTCTGAGATTCACATCTCAGAATTCATCTTCCAATCATAAATCCACAGGAAAAAATGTCAAGAGAGCTCTAGATAGCACAGTTAATTTCTTTTTGCCTTGTTTTTCATTACAATAATCATAAACAAAAAATATTCAAAAATTGGTGTACTAATTTAGCACATCTTCAATTCAATTTCCCAATAAATTTTAAAGTCTTCTGTTATCAATCCCACCTTGAATTCTATGGGCATCCTCTCATCAAACACTTCCAAAAATATGATCTGCTAAAATTATTACAAAGATTTTTTCTTTCTTTATTGCCCAATGACTTTTGTAAACCTTTGCTCCAGGTTTACAAGAAAAGACTGGATAAAATGCCTCTGAGCCACAAACACATCATCTTTATTTTGTGTAGCTCAAGTGTAAGCAGAAAAATTCTCCCTTCAACTGATAGCAACATCAGTCTTTTCTCTCCTTTGTGTCACTGGCATAAATCATATTAGCAATCATTTCTATCTGTTAAAAGAACGAAATTTTTTTTGAAATTGCATGAAGGAGACAGGGAGAAAAGACTGGCTTTTAATTAGGTAGCAGTTTAAGCAAATCGGGATCAGTTTCTGGTTTTCAAAGGACTGCTGCTGCATGAAGAGAATGAGTATCAGATTCTCCCCTGTGAAATGGGCAGTCATCTTTCTGCTCAACACTTTGGTTTTTAAGCATGGAACATAATCCATGAAGATTTTAGTGCATGGAAACCTAATAGAAAGTTTGTTTAGTGCTGACAGGTGATTAAACTATGAAAGGCAAATAACACAGAAATTAATCAAATTATTTAAAGTGGTGTACAATGCACAGGTAATCAAGCATGCTGCTCAAGTCACTAGAGAATTAATGATGATATGTTTAGCATACATTTTGAACAGAAACAGTTCTAGAAAAAAAACTGTAAAAAGGAAAAGCATCAAATCAGCAGGACTTTCTTGCCTACAAACCCCTACACACACAAGTTTTACATTGCCACTGTTCTAGTTAAGTAGGTGTGGTATCAAGGTACTAGCTACATTCTCTTTTTTTATAATGGGCCCTGGATCAAAGCACATCTAGATACCAATCTTAAAGATAAAAATAGGGACTGCTTGGGATCTGTGGGTTTTTTTACAGATGCTTCAAAAGCCATCCTTTATTAATACTAAAATTTTCTGGAGACACTGGCAAGCATGTCAGTGATTTAGTGAGTTCAACACATTTAGACTAGTAAACAGACTTTTACAAGATTCCACAAAGGCCATTAAAGGAAGTAAGCCATCATAACACGTGAAGGAATGACCTCTCATGAGGTCAGATTTAAAAAATGGAGAAAAGCAGTGGAAAACCACAACAATCTTTGCTGAATCCTATTCTGTTCCAACAGCAACATAAGAAACTTAGAAAAGAGGATAAAAATTAAGATGACTGCTTGTTGATTATAAAAATTACTCACAAAAATTAAAATAAGCATAGATCACAGAATGGTAGAAAAATTCCACAGAATGGTTTGTCTAGGCAATAAAATGGCATATGAAGTCAAGGAATGGAAATTGATACACAGGAGGGAAATATGATTGCTTCTGCATTAGCTATTTTCAGTCCTGAAAGAGTTATTATTGATATTTCAATTAAAACATTAACTCGAGGAATAGAAACAAAATGCCATTACAGTATTGCATAAATCCATTTGTACTGACAACTCAAATACTGTATGGCATTCTTCACCTCCCATCTCCAAAAGATATGGTAGAGCTAAAAAAAATGAAGAACAGTGTGACAAGATCACAGCTGTGGAACAGCTCCTGAATGTGAATAGGAATAGGCTATGAGTTTTCTACCAGAAAACAAAAAGATTGGGAGATGTAGAAAATTATGTAACTACATACAAAATCATAAATGGCTTGAGTAAGTAAATCTTTGCAGTGAACGTGGTAAGTTTATTTATCCTTCTACCACAAATTGAAGGTGCTGAGTCAAATTATCAGACAGAAGTTTTCTTCACTGATTGGGACATTTTTTGTGTTTATAAATAAAACTGCTTTTCAGCATAATACCAGTTAAATTCTAGAACAGATAAATAATAATAATAAAATATAATATATATAATAAAATATAATTATATATATATATTATTATTATTTTATATTAAAATATTATTATATATATATATTATATAATAAAATATTTTTATTCCAAAGGCAAGAATGGATAAAAAAACCCAATTAGATTAATACATAGAACAAGGGTTCATCCAGAGCTGTTAAACACAAATGGCTTCAATTGCCAGTTCAGAACATCCCTAAATCACTAGCTGATGCAGGGTTTTACCCAGGGAG